TATATACTATATACAGTATATATATATATATATATACTATATACTATATACAGTATATAGAGTGTCTGGAGATAATCGCCAAATATTTCATAGGCATGTAGAATAGACTAAACTGAGTCGAAAAGTCCTCTACAATTTTGTAAATTTCCTCAATAGTTAATAAGACATTAATCCTTAAAGATAGTCGAATACGCACGCTCACCCGGCCTACTACTGCGAAATGTATATGCCTACCATCGCTTGGCACGCGGGCCTTGGGAATTGGGGATAGCCTGGCAAACGCGCCATCCGAGCTATAGTGGCTTGCGGCAGTGTGCACGTTTGCCAATCCCCAACTCTCAAGACGTAAAAATTTACTTAAATTATTTTAATTTTTCTCTCATATCATTTATATAGTTCAATTGACAATTCAAAGTATGCCCCATGCATTATTCTAGTTCAAATGTAAAAACACAGTCAGCTTCATGTACGGATATGACAATATTGCGTAACAAATTATGACAATATTGCGTTATATACACACATTATAACAAGTTCTATAATCAGAAAAAATTTAATTTCTTGAATGTTTATATTAAAAAAGAGCAATTGCCGGGATCAAATGAACAAAGAGATACAGAATCGTTTCCAGATTTGTATTTTATAATTTGTAATATCATAATTTGTCTATATTTGCATTGAGAGTGACTCAATTAAGGTCCATAATAAATTGTATAATTTATATTAGTATATCAGTTATTTAACTTTGAATTGTAATGTTAAAAAATACACCAACGATTATGTCAGTCTGACAGACCATTATAAAATTTTTGCTAATTTTATAAGTCCTTATAATGAAGAATATACATTATACTATCTTGATCAAAAAATTCCCGGAATTCATTCAGAAAATTCAAAATACAAGTTTTATTCATCAAAAGTGATATTGTCCCCTTCAAAGTACTTCTCATCGACTGCAACGCACTTATGCCAGCGCTTGATCCAACTCTCGAAACATTTTTGGAACTCTATAGCCATCAGAGCCATCTTCGATTTTTCCATTATCTCCTTTCGGCTGTTAAAACGCGTTCCCCGTAATGGTTTTTTGACTCGATCGAACAGAAAAAAATCGCAGCAAGCCATATCAGGTGAATTCGATGGCTGTTGGATGGTATTCGTTCTTGGTCAAAAATTCATGGATAATGATGGCACTGTGCGACGATGCGTTATCATGGTGCAAAATTCACGAGTTGTTTGCTCACAAATCCTTTCTTTTTTGGTGAACTGCTTCACGCAAACGTTTCATAACGCCCAAATAATACTCCTTATTAACTATCTGACCTTCTGGCAAAAATTCATGATGTACAATACCGTTGTAATCCATGAAAATCATGAGCATCGCTTTCTTTTTCGACTGAAAACGACGTGGTTTTTTTGGTCTTGGCTCATTTGAAACTTTCTCTTGATGTCTGGATTGCGTGTCGTACTCATAAACCCACGTCTCGTCTCCAGTAATGATGCGTTTGATGAATGTTGGATCGGATTCAGCCTTGGAAATCATGTCTTTGGCGATGACAATGTGGTCCCTTTTTTGCATAAAATTCAGTTCCTTCGGGAACCAACTTTGCAGCAACATGGCGCAAATCCAAACCATTAACTATAATGTCCTGATGGATCCATAAGCAATGTTTAAGTCCTCTGCCAGCTCTCTGATAGTTAATTTGGTTATTAATCAACATTTCTCTTACTTTATTGATGTTTTCGTCGGTTTTCGATGTCGACGGCCTGCCACTGCGTTCGTCATCCTCGATGGACTCACGACCACTTTTGAAGCGTTCATGCCACTCATAAACGGCTGTTTTCTTTAGAGTATCTTTAGAGTATCACTGCCGAAACAGTTTTCCAACATTTCCAAGATTTTCACACCATTGAATCCATTTTTAACACAAAATTTAATACAAACTCGTTGTTGCAAATTCAACTCCATTTTTAAAACTGTAAAAAATCGAAAGTACGTGCAGAGGTAGATGTATTCAAGATGGTGTAACTTTTACAAATGTCAAGCTATGGTGATAAAATTTGGTGGGAATGTCAATGATAGATGTGGCAACCCAATCAAAAAAACAGAACTCAAATTAGTTGATTCAAAGCTTCACCTGGTGTAATTCCTGGTGGTAACTTTTTGATCAAGGTGGTATATAGTATGTACGTACGTGCAAATACACACACACACACACACACACACACACACACACACACACACACACACACACACACACACACACACACACACACACACACACACACGCACGCACGCACGCACGCACGCACGCACGCACGCACGCACGCACGCACGCATGCACGCACGTATGCACGCACTGATTGTAAAACTTGTTATAATACGTGTTGCATATAATGCAATATTGTCATAACTTGATATATTAGGTGTAGTAAAAAGAAATCCATTATTTTTGCATGAAATTGAATGGAAAAATAATGGATTTCTTTTTACTACACCTAATATATCCGTACATGAAGTCTTGAACTGTGTTTTTTATGTTTGAATTGGAACATTACATGGAACACATATACTTTGAACCATGTTAGTATGTATACAGTATAAGTGTGAAGTAAAATATTTTAAATGAATTTTTACGCCAAAAGTTGTGTTATCAATAAATTTGATGTTTTTTCCACAAAATTTATGATAAAAATTTTATTATATATGAGAATATATATATATATATATACATAGAATATGAATAAATAATTAACGCTTTAAATAATATCGAAAATGCTGCATTACATGACAAATAGATGAATACGTGATTAATAATTTGTGTTTCCACATTTCGTTCTTCAGTGTAAGATTGAACGTTCGACGATTATCGATTGAAAGAAAAAGAAAAGTTCACAAATACGAAAGATCTCGATTTAGCAAATTGAGATTGAGGTTTCTGCGAATCCATTGTGTATAGTTAAGGTTAAAAATAGTGCGATGGGCATTCGATAACGGTTCGATAGACATTGATTCGAAAGATTTTGACAATAATTTGATAGACGTTCGACGATGGTTTGATATATATTTGATAATTGTCACAGATGTCTTGATTATAGTACACTAATACTATCAACGTGTGTTAATGAGTATATGTATAAGAGTAAAGCATTTTTCGATTGATGATTTAAGTTTAACAGATAAAAATGCATAAGTTCTTCTCAGTGAGACATCAACGTATGGCAGTTACCATATAACGAAGATCATGATAGATACGATTTTGCATAAGTGTAATGTAAAAATTTTTTTTCTACAGAAAATCGACATGTCACAACATGTTTTGCGGTTAGATTACTCTGTTGAATACATAGAAATTTTATAGTTTCGCAGGGTCAAGCGTACCGACTTTAGCAATACTTGTGGGCAATGACTATAAGTAAGTGAACATCCGTTTGATCAACAACTAGTGAGTGAATATTGTTTTTCAAGAGAACGTGTATGAACACATACTTCTAATACATAATTTTATAATAGTACTGTTTCATACATGATTGCGTTTCAAGATTGAAAAGGACTTTATTGCGCAGTAATACATTTACAAAATTGTTGTACGTAGATATATAAATTCACATCGAAATATTTAGGCAGCTTTGATCGAATATAGGATTTCTTTTACTTAATTGATGGAATTACAATTTATTTATCTAATTTAACATATTTTTCATTCCGTTTATATTGTGTGTGTATATATATTAGGTATAGTAAAAACAAAATTATTTTTTCATTCAATTTCATGCAAAAATAATGGATTTCTTTTTCCTAATATATATATATATATACCTAATATATATATATATGTAT